CACCAAGACTAGACATGTCAACCAGGTACAATCCACTAGTAAGAAAAAAGTTCAAACCCAATATATGGAGAGTCATCTCACATGAAGCAAAATAATCATGTGATCTACGAATGGCTTGCTTGCTTTAATCCATGGACTTGGTAGTGGGCGTACACCTTTGGAGCATTAGTTGTTGTCAAAGGATATGGAGAGCAGTGACGTCTGCCACTTCTTGCCATATAAAATAAATAAATTTATATAATGTACTTATTATATATTATTTATAGATAAAAAAATTGTAGCCAACCATGGCTAAAAAACAAGACAAGGATAAAATATCAAAGTGAAAATCTTAAGTCGGAGTTGTTAGACTTTGATATGAAGACCTTGCCACCAAGTCGTTGTGATGGCTTGACATGCCGAGTCATACATCACGTCATGCCATGCCATGCCATGTTGTCTTGTCCTGAGTACCCACAACCTGTGGGGCAAGATGGCTTGAAACATGGTAGTAGAGGAGTGGTAATGTCTCTCACAAGATAAAAAGGAACATTATTTTTCTAAGTCAAAAAGTAGATGGTTTGAGTTGCTGTTAGTGAGATGCTTAGCCTTGTGACAAGGTAAGAAGATTCGCTCCGTGTTAAAATTTGTGCGAAAAAAAACTAAGTTACTTGCTCAACCATGTTGCCAAGTACTAGATGGCAACGAGGGTTTTGAGTCAAATTCAAGAGGGTTTGAGTGAGAGATGACAATATTTTTTTTAATTGAAAGCCAATATTTGGCTAAGGCATGGAGCAAGTTTTGAAGATGAGTTCCATCGGGTCGTGTTGGCTTGACGTAATAGCCACGACTTGACGTGGTAGCCAAAATTTGGCTAAGGCGTGGGCTAAATTTTGACGACGAGTTCCATCCGGCTATGTTGGCTTGATCATTGATAAAAGTCAAAAGTGGCTAAGGCATGAGAGAAGCCTTGATGTCAAGTTCCATCTCGCCATGTTGGTTTGAAGTGAAAACCCAAATTTGGCTAAGGCATGGGACAAGTTTTGACGACGAGATCCATCCGGCCATGTTGGCTTGACGTGATAGCCATGGCTTTATCATTGAAAGAAAAAAATTTGGCTAATTAATGAGACAAGCCTTGATTTCAAGTTCAATCTTGCTATGTTGGCTTGACGTGAAAAACCAAATTTGGCTAAGGCATGTGACAAATTTTGATGACGAGTTCCATCCCGTCGTGTTTGCTTGATCATTGATGTCCAAATTTTGGCTAAGGCATGGAACAAATTTTGACAACAAGTTCAATCCAGCTATGTTGGCTTAACGCGATAGCCATGGCTTGACGTGATAGCCAAAATTTAGCTAAGGCATGGGCTAAACTTTGACGTCGAGTTCCATCTCGCCATGTTCGCTCGATGTGATAGCCAAAATTTAACTAGGTCATGTGACTAGTTATGATGACGAGTTCCCTCCGGACGTGTTGGCTTGATCACTAAAAGTCAAAATTTTGGCAAAGTAAAATTGGTGTGTTGATAAGCCAACACGTTACGTGGCTAGCTTGGTGGTGTTCAACTGCTTAGTCCATAATTCTTATGCACAAAATAGTTAGGGGGCATTTGTTTACACCCAAAAAATAATATTTTACCACATCGATTATTTACAAGGAATTAATTTTCTTTATAAGGCTAGATCAATAATAACAATTAATGTTATTTAAGCTGGGCCTTATGGTACTAGATTTATAAACCCAAACCACTAAGTCTCCAGGAAGGAGCTAATCTCGTCGCGAGTTAGATAGCCCGACGTGGTCGCGAGATCTAGTCCACATTGACGTCAAGCCTAGTAGAGCCCGACGTGGTCGCGAGAATTAGACCATCTCGGCGTCAAGCCAAGTAGAGCCCGACGTGGTCGCAAGATTTAGACCATGTCGGCGTCAAGCCAAGTAGACCACGTCGGAGTCAAGTCTTGTAGAGCCCAACGTGGTCGCGAGATCTAGATCACATTGGCATCAATCCTAGTAGAGCACGACGTGGTCCCGAGATCTAGACCACGTTGGCGACAAGCCTAGTAGAGGCCGACGTGGTCCCGAGATCTAGTCCACGTTGGCAGCAAGCCTAGTAGAGCCGACGTGGTTACGAGATCTAGACCACGTTGGTGTCAAGCCTAATATCCTGACGTGGTCATGAGATCTAGACCACGTTGGCGTCAAACCTAGTAGAGCCGACGTCGTCACAAGATCTAGACCACGTTGGCGTCAAGTCCACTACACCGATGTGGTCGTGAGATCCAGACCACGTTGGCGTCAAGTTCGATAGACAAAGGTGGTCTAACAAGTTGAAGGTAAGGAAGCAAGCCACATGGGAGAGGAAAGCCACAAAGACGTCAGTTCCGAGTGAGAGAGAGCAGGCGGTTTACAGAGTAACTATTGATAGTCCCACGTGCAAGGACATGTCAGCCAGGTCCGAGGGAGAATAGGAGCAGTTATTTTTGGAAGTACTCTCAAGGCGGTTTTTCTACGACAGTTACCACTTCAAATCCATAAATAAGAGAAGGAGTAGACGGAGAAGGAGTCGTCAAATTCCCACCAGACAACACAATGTCAACTTTTATCATTTTATCCTTTCCTCAACAATTTTAGCCATAGTCGTAGATTTGGGGCACTCACAGAACCACCATAGGAGTAGGCGTAATTTAATTTAGATCTGTCTTGTGAGTCGTGTAAACATCGAACACCCTTGTTCGAACTTTGTTTGAAGAGTTGTGAATTGTGTCTTAGTGATCGTTGTCTAAAGAAATCAAGGTGAATTCAATTTTCATTCAAAGTAAGTTTTCTCGCCGGAAAACATGCGCGACCCTACTCCCCTTGAACCGGTCGCCTGGCTCTCTTATGATATGATCCCAATTGGATCAATCCACAATTCACAATTACTTTCCAAAGATGTCATCTTAACTCACTTGAAGAATTCTGAAATTTTTGGCCAAGTGTTGAAACAGTTTCAGGTAGCCTACTTTGGAAGCTTGTATCTCACAAATGGCTCAATGGAAATTGGAGATCAAGGGCTTGTTTTCAAGATACAGTTGCCATGTTTCCAATGGTATGATTTTTGGATCCATATGATGTCATTAAGGTTGTTTTCCAAGGCCTCAAAGTTGCTACCTCAAAACTGGAAAACTGTCTGAAAATGGCTAATGCAGAAAACTGTTTTGTGAAGCCTACTTTGGAGCTTAATTCGAGGAGTATGGATCTTAATCAAGTCCAAAGGCTTCCACATCATGAAACTAGGCATGTTTTTGAACAAAGGGAAGGAATTGGATGAAGAATTGGAGTTCGGAAAGGCCTCGAACGAAAGGCGTGAAGTTAGTACGAAAGCTGCCTTTTGACTGTTTTGCTGGCAGCTTACTTGTGCTTCAAGAAAAGAAGTTTGTCTCCGAATTTTGTAACTTTTTTAGAGTAGAATTTTACCTTATTTGTTTCCTTGTTCATCTAGGTTTGTATTAGGTTTTCTTAGCTATAAATAGTCTTCTATTTTCGTTGTAAAAACATATGACTTTAATTAATCGAAAAACAAACCCTTTCTTGGATCGCCGGATTCTGGAAATTTCAAATTTCCCGACGGCGGGAAACACGGGAATCCTAATTGGAGGCGATTCGCACACTTTCGACGCACATGATTAGCTGGAATCAATTCCTGGGTTCAAGACGAGTCAAATGTGAGCAATGAATTGGCTCGAAGTGGCCTATAAGCGAAACGCCTAATTTTGGAGGTCTCACAGGAAAACTCGAACTCGTCGGAATCTTCCAATTGTTGGCCTGAATCTATAAGTTTGCCAAATTCGATTCTGGGTCAAATTCTCTTTATTATCTGTGTGAAATGCGAACCTTGGAGTCCAACGAAGCGGCTGGAACAAATTGATGTGAATTAGAAGCTGCCATAGTTATGCCGAAAATTGCTTTTGAGCAACCTACTTTCGATCCACTTTGGGATCAATTCTGTGAAGTTTTTGACAAAAAGAAGCTTCAAGCTTTGAGGTCAAAGCTTTTTGAAGAGGGGAAGCCTAATATGATCCCAATTGGATCAATCCACAATTCACAATTACTTGCCAAAGAAGTCATCTCAACTCACTTGAAGAATTCTGATTTTTGGCTAAGTGTTGAAACAGTTTCAGGTAGCCTACTTTGGAAGCTTGTATCTCACAAATGGCTCAATGGAAAATTGGAGATCAAGGGCTTGTTTTCAAGATATAGATGCCATGTTTCCAATGGTGTGCTTTTTGGATCCATATGATGTCATTAAGATTGTTTTCCAAGGCCTCAAAGTTGCTACCTCAAAGGCTTCCACAACATGAAACTAGGTATGTTTGTGAACAAAGGGAAGGAATTGGATGAAGAATTGGAGTTCGGGAAGACCTCGAACGAAAGGCTTGAAGTTAGTACAAAAGCTGCATTTTGACTGTTTTGCTGGCAGCTTACTTGTGCTTCAAGAAAGGAAGTTTGTGTTCGAATTTTGTAACCTTTTTAGAGTAGAATTTTACCTTATTTGTTTCCTTGTTCATCTAGGTTTGTATTAGGTTTTCTTGGCTATAAATAGCCTTCTATTTTCGTTGTAAAAACATAAGACTTTGATTAATCGAACTACAAACCCTTTGGTTTTGTGCAAGTTGCGACTTGTTTGAGTTTGGTGGATTCCAAGCTTGTGAGCTATGTATTGATTGAATATCCTCTTCAATCGTGGTCGAGCAGCTACCCTTTAATCCAACCGAGCGTTCCCCAGGTGTGGAATCGTCCTTTTGGTTCTGTTTTATCCAAGTTCGTATTAAGAACGCTTTGTTCTTGATTCGAGCTCAATCAATTCTTCGATTGAGTCGTTAGCTGCGTGACTTTGATAACATACATTCCCCCAGGGGAGTATTATCTTAGCCCTTTGGTGCAGGCCGACTCTAATCATTTACTGTTGAATGTGGTGCATGCCACATGACTCTCTGAAATGGTAATTGATTCTTATTCTTTGTCTGTGCAGCAGGTAATGATGCAAGACTCTGTGTCGGAAGCACAACCAGGACAGGCGAATGGGACGGCGATTGGCCTACTCTTTTCATGTGTCATGGGATCGCTACAGAAGGCGACGACTCTGAATCAATCTCTTCAATGGACTCCGGTGGGAGAAGACGATCTGGTGCCTGGTGATCGAAATGGGAAGCTAGCACTCACAGTTTTGGCAGAATTCAAAGGAAGGGTATGTGCCCCTTGGCAAAGAATGATCTTGATTCGGTTACTTGGGTTGAGGATTGGTTTTGCTACCCTCTGTAATTGGCTCGGTAGCTTATGGCCTCCTACAGGCACAATGGAAGTCAAGGATCCGGATCACGAATGCTTCCTTGTTAAGTTGGAAAATGAACAAGATTACTTTCGTGCTCTGACTAATGGAGCCTGGGTAATATATGATCAATACTTGGTCGTCTAGCAATGGTCGCCAAAGTTCAAGGCCTTTTATCCTCTTCCAAAAACTATGATCGTCTGGGTTTAGCTCCCTGCTCTGAAAATCCACTTTTATCAAGGAGTTTGTGACTATGTTGGGGAATCTAATTGGACGGACCATTAAGTTAGATTATCACACTCTAACTAACTAGCGAGCTAAATTTGCTCGGTTAGCGGTAGAAGTCGATATCTCGAAAATCCTTGTTCCCAGAATATGGCTTCACGATGAGTTGCAGAAAGTCAAGTACGAGAACCTCCCCGAGGTCTGCTTCAAATGCGAGAAGATTGGACACAACTCAGGTACATGTCCCCAGAATAAAACAACTTATTCGTCGTCCCAAGAGAATCTCGTCGGATTGTCACCGCCGGCAAGCCCGTCACCTTCATCAGAAGACTCCAATTTGGGGTTTAAGCCGTGGATGTTGGCAACGAGAAAAACATGGCGGAATTCAGGGGATGCGCAAAGAAAAGGAAAGGTGGAGCAGCATACAGGGACACAATTCACAATTGCCAAAAATAGAAACTGCGAAACAACTGGTAAGGAAGCGAATCAATCACTGCCTCTTTTGGCGATCTCCAACGGTCCCTCACCTCAACAAAGTTCAGCCCCAGAAAGGATGGTGGCTAATGGGAAGAAAAGTGGCGAGGATGCGAAGAAAGGAAAAGGAAAGGTGACTAATGAAATTATAAGGAAAGGGAAAGGACTTCTTAGGTCGGGGCCCAATTCAGGAAACTGAGTCACAAGGCTGAAGCCATCGTTGAAGGATGGGGCTTCGTCCTCTGTCAGCTTGTTGCACTCACCCTCTTACCAGCTGGCTACTCTGAACAGTCCAGATACGGTGAATGGGCCATCAGTCCATAAGCCAATTTCCGGCCCACCTCAGCCTCTCGCATTCCGGACGGTAATGGGACCAAATGGTACGATGATGCACATCGTTGAGAACCCACAACCGCTAACAGATAATGGCGACCCAACCCCTTCAATGAATGCAAGAACAAAACGGAGAAAGGGTATGAAAACACAAGGGAAAATGTCGTCGACCAAGCTAAATCCGATGAAACCTCTGCAAATTTGGTCTTTGATAAAGGAAAGGAAACCAAAATCAAAGCCGTGTATGACGTTTCTGACCTTGTAGGAGACCAGTGCCTGGACCGAGGCGGCACGACCATCAATTGGAGATGGGGAGAAGGAGCAGAACGAACTGGATGGCCAGTTACAGGCGAACCGTTCGAGCATTGCAGCTCTCATCTAGGCGGGATGGCCAGCCATAGTTGAGTGGAAATTTTGCCAACATGATTTGTGATAGGCTGGGATTCCCAAATTCATTCCGGGTGGAAGCAGAGGGACGAAAGGGCGGTGTGTGGGTCTTCTGGGATAGCGGACTATTCTTGGTGCAGCTCTTCTTGGCATTCTCGTAGCACCTATCTCTCAATGTTACCACATCCAATGACTCTCCTTGGATGCTGACTACCGTCTATGCATCTCCTTGAGAAAGGGAGCAGCATTACCGTTGGGAGCGTCTGATATCCCAAAGTAAGTACATCGATATCCCTTGGTTTCTTACAGGGGATTTCAATGCCATTAGTAAACCTGAGGAGAAGTCGGCTCCTCCTGCGAGGAACACTCTGAGGAGATGCCATATGTTCACGGAGAGACTTAATATAGCGGAGCTCATTGATCTCGGATTTTCGGGACCAAAGTATACCTAGTCTAGAGGAGACCAAAGCCACACGTATAAAGCTAGCAGACTGGACAGGAGTCTGTGCAATCTTCGTTGGAATTTGGTTTTCCCCAACTATTTGGTGTTACATCTTCCGCGCCATCAATCCGATCACAATCCGATCCTCACCAGCGTGGACCTGCAGGCGATTCAGTCTCAAGCTACGAGGACCTTCAGGTTTGAAGCAGCATGGTTGACAAATGATAACTTACGGAATGTGGTCGCTAAGACTTGGGACGCTAATGTCCCGCATCAGAACGCACTACAAATGCTGGCTGGAAAACTTGCTGAGTGGAATTTAGTTGTTTTTAGAGACATTAAGCAGAAGAAACATAGACTGTTGGCCAAAATCAAGGAAGTCGAAGCAAGACTAGCATATGGGTTCTCCTCTGGTTTGGCCAAGCTACACTAAAAGCTGACTCGAGAACTTGATAAAGTGCTCGAGCAGGAAGACTCATTTGATATCAGCGTTCGAGAGACAATTGGGTAAAGTATGGGGAAAAGAAGACCACATATTTCACCAGCAAGTCAACATCAGACGGCGATTCAACAAGATCGAGGCGCTGCTGGATGATAACAACAATTGGGTGACGGATCCTCACTCCCTCGCTCTCCTTGTTTTTGACTTTTTCACTAACATCTATTTGCAGGATAGCTCCTCGTATGAGGATAGATTACCCAAAGACTGCTTCCCTCGGTTGAATCAAATGGAAGCGGCAGCTTTGTTCAAACCTCTTAATATCCTGGACATTCACAAGGCGATATTTGACACAAAGCCTTTTCAATCTCCGGGTCCATACGGTTTCCATGCGGCGTTTTATCAGCAGTTCTGGCAGGTGTTAGGAAAGTCCTTCTCCGATATGGCTATATCCTTTTTCATGACAGGTACCCTGCCGGAGGCTGTGACTGAATCTACGCTAGTACTCATTCCTAAAGTGGACTCACCAGAGAAGGTTACTCATCTTCAGCCTACCTCTCTAAACAACATCTGTCTCAAGAGCATCACCAAGTCCATGACATTGAGATTAAAGCCCATCATGAGGAAACTAATATCACCTAGACAGAGCAGTTTCATTCCCAGTAGACAAACGACTGACAATATTATTGTTGTCCAAGAAGTCTTACATTCCTTCGGGAAGAGAAGAGAGAAGAAAGGGGGCATGGTGTTCAAGATTGACCTTGAGGAAGCTTACAATATGCTGGGAATTCCTGCGGGATTCCTTGAAGGAAGTCGGACTGCCAAGTAGCTGTATTAGCTGTATCATGTACTGCGTGGAGCACAACACCAAGAGGATCAGATGGAATTGGGAGCTGTCTCAACCGATCACACTGTCTCGTGGTGTTCGCTAGGGAGACCCTCTCTCTCCATATCTTTTCGTTCTTTGCATGGAAATATTATCTCATAGGATTGATGAGGCGGTCAATAACGGACAATGGAAGGCTGTGCGGTTGACCGGCTCCGGGCCGCCACTAACTCACCTCTTTTTGCAGATGACCTACTGTTCTTTGCAAAAGCGGAAAGGAGACAAATCCGAGTCATTAAACAGTGCCTGGCGGACTTCTGTCACATCTCGGGCCAACGGGTTCACTACAATAAATCCGAGTCATTAAACAGTGCTCTTTGCCCGACGAATAGCTGAATACCTGACCGCATGTGCGGGGATACCTTTGAAGGCAGCATTGGGGAGATATCTTGGGATCCAAGCAATCCAAGAAAGGATCAACAAAGGGAGATATCAGTCTCTCATCCTTCAGATTCAGAAAAAGATGCCCCCGTGGAAGGCGAAACGCCTGTCTTTTGAAGCTCGGCTTACCATAGCCCAATCGATGACTGCTTCCTTACCCGTCTATACTATGCATGCAGAACTGATTCCTAGTGGTGTATGTAGGAGTATCGACAAGATCAGTAGGAACTTCATCTGGGGAGACGAAGAGAACCACCCCAAGTTCCATCTTGTTGCGTGGCAAAGACTTTTGATGCCTAAAGCACAAGGGGGAGTGGGACTCCGATCAACCCTGCAGCCTAGCCTACCTATGCTCGCCAAGTGCGGTTGGCACCTTCTCCAGGAGAAAGAGAATGTTTGGCAAAAACTTCTTCTCTCGAAGTATGGAGGTCAAAGGTCCGGTCTGGATGTCTTGCGAAAAAAACAGGGAAGTTCCTTCACCTGTAATAGCTTTGCGATAACTGTCGATCTCCTTAAAAAAGAATGTGTGTGGAACATTAGTAATGGGGAAAGAACTAACTTTTGGAATGATTTGTGGTTTTTGCAGGTGCCTCTTAAGGAGTTGTCGACTAGTGATTTGCCGGAGGACGTAGAGGAAGCTATGGTGGCTGATTTCGTTCGCGACGATGAAAGCTGCCACGTGGAGCTGTTCTTCGGGCTCCTACCTCCGGACGTCTGCAACAAGCTTACAGGTATAGCTGTCGACTACCTTTCTCAGAACGAGGACTCCCTGTTTTGGGCTCTGGCTGACGACGACAGGTTCTCTACAAAGTCCGTGTATGCTCTTCTTACCAAGCATGACCAGCAGGCTAATGATGGGATTTGGAGGGCGACCTAGCGATTACCTATTCCGGATCGGATTCAAGGCTTTTGTTGGCTGGCAGTTCAGGTCAAGATCGCAACGAATGCCCTCCAAGTTTTCAGAGGAAGGTGGAAACGTCGTATTGCTGTCTGCATTGTCCAGGCCGCCCGGAGAGAGTGCTCCACATTGTACGGAACTGTGTGCCAGTTTATTCTTTTGGTCCAGGCTTGTCCCGCAACAAAAGCAGCAGGAGTTCTTCAATGCTAGCCATGATGCTTGGTTTATCAATAACTTTTTCAGCAAAGAGTCCACCAGTTCAGGCATTAGTTGGTCGGGCTTCTTTAGCATGGCCATTTGGCTGTTATGGAACAATCGGACAATCGCTGCATTCAAAGGTGTAAACGTAGTGCTTTCAGATCCATCCCTCATGCACTCTATCCTAGCTAAGAGTAAATTATGGAATGATTCTTGGCACGCTCCTGAGCTTTTCCCCAACCACAAGAAGCAAGGAATTGAAAGAATTGTGGTAGCTATTGGATGGAGGCCGCCCCCAGAGGGTTGGGTTTTGGTGAACACGGATGGTGCTTCAAATGGTACTCCGGGTCTGGCAGGTTGTAGTGGAATTGTTCTAGACTCGCTGGGCAACTGGCTGGGAGGATTTGTTGTCAATATCGGTACGACATCTGCTGCCCTGGCGGAACTTTGAGCCATACTTTATGGGTTGGAGTTGTCCTCGAAGCTTGGTGTAACACCCCGATAATTTAGATTTAGGTTCGACCTTTAATACGTGATCAGTTGGGTTAACAGTTACCACTACAGGAAAAAGACCATTTATTCACGGTAAATCCTGTGTTTAAAAGTGCATTTCCCGTGTTTAATTATTTTAGTCACGGGAAAATTACCGTAATATATACCTCCGTGTTTAATTGTAAAGATCACGGGATATTTGTACCGTGACTAGTTATAACTAGTCAAGGTATGATTTCCCGTGATAATTTATACCTATTAATCACGGGAAGGCCCGTGACTAATACCAAGTCTTGGCACACAAAACCGGTGGAAAAATTATTTAGAGACGGGATATAGGGTTCTTAACACGGTATTTACCGTGAGAAAATTGTTTCCCGTGACTAGATGCCAACCATTAGTTACGGTATTTAGTTAATTCTCCCGTGTCTAGATACTTACATTTGATCACGGTATTTAACAGATAATTTTCATAATTAATTATGCCTATTTTTTTCTTTTTTCCAATAATTCGTATTTGAACTTGTAGTATTGAGAGTCTGAAAAATGAAATGAAGATATAAAGCATTTTATAAATGATGTCCAAAGCCAGAAGTCATTACAAATGATATCCACTTAATAGCCAGCACAAAGTCATTACAAAGGAAGTTCTTTAATGAAATGAAAATACAAATAGATTACATATATACTTGCTTTCCCAACGAAATAAATCATGAAACGCCCACTTATATAAGTAACGAAAA